GTAACTAAAGCAATATGTCAGAGTTTCCATTTGTTTAGCATAGTGCTTAACAGCAAGAGTTTTGGAGTTTAATAGATCTCCACGCAGCCACTTACTAGCTACTTGACTCTGGACAAGTTATTTAACCTTCTCATGCCTCAGTTTCCCCATCTATAAATTGTGGAAACAACGCCCATAGGGTTGTGTGAGAATAACAACAACAACAACAACAACAACAACAAAGATGACATACATTCAGCCCTTTGCATTTGTGGGTTCCACATCCTTGGAATAAACCACCTAACTGTGGATCGAAAATATTCTGAAAAAAAAATCCACAAAATTCCAAAAAGCAAAACTTGAATTTGCTGCACAGAGTGCTACATATCGAACCCACATTAATGAAGTGATGTGTAGGCATTGTATTAAGTGTTATAAGTAATCTAGAGATGATTTGAAGTATGTAGGAGAATGTGTGTAGGTTATAGGCAAATACCACTCCGTTTTACATAAGGGACTTGATCATTCCTGGATTTTGATAAGGGGGAGAGGTTCTGGAATCAATCCCCCATGGATACCGAAGGATGGCTGTATGTGAATTGTGGAGAATTGTGCCTGGCACAAAATAAGTGATCAATAAACAGCAACTATTTAAACTGGAAAAAGATAGACCATATTACCACACTGAATTAATATAATTCTAATGTAAAGAAATAATCTTGATGTTTTCATTATCCTACATTACTCTTATCCTGTATAAAATACATTCTTATTTACTATTTTTTTTTTTTTTTGAGATAGAGTCTCACTTTGTTCCCAGGCTAGAGTGAGTGCCATGGCATCAGCCTAGCTCACAGCAACCTCAATCTCCGGGTTCAAGCAATCCTTCTGCATCAGACTCCCAAGTAGCTGGGACTACAGGCATGCACCACCATACCCAGCTAATATTTTTTGTATATATATTTTTAGTTGGCCAATTAATTTCTTTCTATTTTTAGTAGAGACGGGGTCTCGCTCTTGCTCAGGCTGGCTTCGAACTCCTGACCTCGAGCAATCCACCCGCCTCGGCCTCCCAGAGTGATAGGGTATAGGCGTGGGCCACCACGCCTGGCCTCTTGTTTACTATTAACATTATTGAAAATAGCTATGCACTCCCACCGTCCTAAACTCCATGGTCTCTCAGGTAGGTTTGGAAATAATTGATGTAAGAAGTGGCATCCTGTATCTTTAATCATCCATTTAGTTCTTCTTCAGGGCCCATGCTTGCTATTTTACTTGGAAAATTCCTTTAACTATGTCAGCCACGACCCTCCACACACTTAGGAAACTGAGTGTGGAACTCTTAGGAAACTGAGACTTTGTGATCAACCATTATTTCTTAAGATACCTGCTATACAAGATCAACCAACCATTTACATCATCTCTAATTTCTAATTGTTTATAACAGGAGAAGAATCAGAGAGCATGAGTGTTTATATAATATTTATTTCCACTCTAAGATAAAATCTTTGAGAGAAATTTGTTAAAAAGTAATTTTAATTGTGACTAACAATAATCATGAGAACACATGGCCTTAATTTTAAATGCCATATGCATATAATATCTGTATGTATGTATATACACATACACATACAATAAATTTTACCATGGCTCTTAAAACACCAAAGCCTAGTTGAAAAATAAAATGGTTTAGCCAATTAAAAATTAGTCTAAAATGATGTCAAACATTTAATTTATTTTTCCTAAATAGACCAATGGCTTCACAGTTTCAAAATGTTCTTATCAACCCTATTTGCCCTTTGAAAGTGCTGTAAAATTTTGACTGTCAGCATTTAATTCTGGGTGGATGCCCAGCAATAACAAGACTTCTAACCTCAGCTAACAGTAGTAGAAATGAGAATAGAAATTAAATATCTATTGGTGGATACATAAGATTTTCATACCAAAAATAATATAATGCCTAATTCATTTAAAATACTGAGCACATTTTGTAAATTTAAAAGGTGTGTAATCATTTTATCATAAAATGTTAGAAAAATTCAACCACATAGATGTCTGTGTTCAGTGGTGTTGTCTTGGGACCAATATTCATAGTTAGAAAGGAGGGAGCTTAACTAGGGGTATGTGAAAATGTCTCTGGCCTTCAGGAAATTAAAACCTAGCTGGGAAAAATCACTATCTATGAAAATCGCTATCTATTTGTCAGAAAAATAATATCAGATATATTAAGTATTATAGAAATATTTAAAAAATATTTATATTGCTTAAAACTACAGCTTAAAGTCTAATAGGAAAACTCATAAAAATAAAATAAGAACAATGAGATTATTATTGTACCAGAAAATATACAGAAGGAGCTCCAAATTCAATAATAAGGAAAGCTTTTCAGAGTAGGCAAGAAAATATGCTTTCCTTTATACATTGTGTATTTCCTTCTTCATATTAAATCATCTATTTCCTTTGCCTTCCTTCCTGCAAATGTATGAAGAGCAATAATGAATTGTCCCAAGAGCCATTTGAAATACTTATTTAATCTTCCCTCCACTGCTTCCCAAATGATAATCCTTCTTGGTGCCTGGCAGATGTTAGATATTCAACAAATGTCATATTATTTGCTGAACAACAATGAAATATTTGCTATGACTCATAGACTGTGATTTAATTTGGGCTTTGTTATTAAAAAGAAATAAATGTAAACTATTTAGCTCATGAAATATAAAATTTTATTTAGGAAATATAACATTTTATTGTATTAAGAGAGGAAGAAAACAAGAATGGGAGAATGATTCTTTGTTTCTTCCTGAGTGTTAAACTGCTCTTGGTACCTTATATTGCACCCTTGGGTAGTAAACATAAATAATTTGTGAATACTTTATTACTGCTGTTTGTTAGTTCCCCAAAAGTTTAGAAATGACCCTTTCCATGTTGAGAAGCTGCTCACCAGCCTTTATAAACTTACATTTATTTTTACATACATTTTATTTTTATAAGGAGTTCAGAAAAAAATGTGTCTGCAGTGTATTCCCATAGTGAAACGTGTTAAGTTTGTCCCTTAAGAGGTTCACTCTGCTGATAGCTCTGGATGTCTTCGCTTTGACATTACAAGGGATTGGATTGCACTAGTGTGTCTTGGCCAGCCTAGCCATTTCACGTGCTTGAAGGAAAGCAAAGGAGCAACATTTATTCTACCTTTCCAGTTCTCTCACTTCTAGTCACAGCCAATGGTTTTGGTTGTGTGTTTGGTCTTGAATGAACAATGGGAAGCAAAAGAGATAACAAAGGGGAATTGAAGTAAAAATAACTTCAGGAATCAGTATGGAATATCCAGTTAAGTAACCTTCCTTTACTACTGTGTGTTTTCTCACAGTAGTGAGATTAGCTCAGTTGAAGACAGGTCTAAGGCCTTCAACACCTGTGCTTCTCACCTCACATCCTTTTGGGATTCTCCTCCTCCTCCTCATCTAAATATTTTCATTTCTTTTTCTCTTGTTCATCAGGGAATTAGAAAAAGTATATTATAATGAACATTTTACTTTGTTTCTACTTCTCCGTTAAAAAGTCTTTTCATTGAAACAAATGTCATAATGTTGTAGAATATCAGATCACTCTTCTTTCAATGTGTTTCCCTACCATGATGATTACTCCCTTTGACACAAGGAAAATAGCTACAATGATTTCATTTTACAGATGAGGAAACTGAAGGCATAAAGTTATAGCAATGTAGGGACAGAGCTTGGAGCCTAGAGTATATGTCACTAGACTTAGGTGCTTCCACCAAGTTTGATAGTCTTAGTATTATGATATTTATACAAGTTTTAATGTTATCTCTTCTGTAACTTAAAACTGAGCAAAAAGAAAATTTTTATTTTTTGTTTCTCCCCAAATTACTGAAAAATAAAATGCAATAAAAATCCTATGATATTTTCTTTGGGGTTCATTATAAATATTTTTTTGAAGGCATAAATGTAAGAACCATCAAAATATTCTCGGAGTAGGAAAATGAGAGGATGTTTACCAGTTATCAAAATGTTCTATAATTTATTAATAAAATGTGATTATAAGTAATGAGAAAATGTGGTACAGGACTGGACAGATGGCACATTAACTGACAATAATAATTGGGCAGAATAAGGAATTACAAACAACTTCGTCATGAAGATTACTTTAATCGATAGGGAAATCATTCAATTAATTGTGGTGGGATAGTAGCAGTTAGTTTGGAAAAACAAAATCAAAATAATTACCAATTAATACTCCACACTATGCATTAAAATGTTCCATAAATTTTAAATATAAATATAAAAACACAAAAGAACTAAAAGAAAATATAGAAAAAAGCCTTATTGTTTAAAGATATCTTTTTCTATGTAAGATTAAGGCCAGGAACCTTAGATATCAAACAAAACTGACTGCCTAAAAATAAAGAAATTTCTATAGCAAAGTAGAACATAAATGATAATGATAATAAATGATCAACTTGGAAAAGAATTGTCATGTATGAAGGACAAAGAGTTATTGTCCTTTATATATAAAGAGCTTCTACAAATAAATAATGGATAAATTACTAGACAAATGGACAAAAAATACATATGAACAAATCAGTAAAGTAAATGCAAATGAAGAACAAGGAAATAAGTTTTTACTTGTAAGATTGTCAAAGGATAATAAATAATTGCGAGCAATGTTAATAAGAGGATGACAAGGGATATTGTCATAAAATCTTGATTCTAGTGTAAATTAGTATCAATTTTTTGGACAAAAATTTGATGACATCTGTGTGTATGTAGGAAAAAAACTGCAAGAATATAACCCAAACTATTAAGAGTAGTTGGGAAAGGGGATTTCCAGTGGTTTTAAAAATAATGTTTATTATTTTTATGTTGTTAAAGTTACCATCACTATGGATAATTTTTTGTCCAAAAGCATGGTACTATATTTTAAAAAAAGAAGTTTGATAATGTTAAAATAGTCAATTATTAACCCAAAGATCTTTCTTTGCAGATTAAAGAAACTTCAAGGTAATGGCTGGAGGGAGGAATATTACAATAGTCACCAAATTCATCCTTTTGGGATTCTCAGATTTCCCCAAGCTCAAGATTGTTCTCTTTGCAGTATTCCTGGGGACTTACCTCTTGACAGTGGCCTGGAATCTGGGCCTCATCATCTTGATTAGGGTGGACTCCTGCCTACATACACCCATGTACTTCTTTCTTAGCAACTTATCGTTCTTAGATTTTTGTTACGTCACCTCCACAACCCCTAAAATGCTCTCAGACTTCTTCCAGAAGTCTAAATCCATCTCCTTTATGGGGTGCACCATACAGTACTTCTTCTTCTCTAGCCTGGGTCTGACTGAGTGCTGTCTTCTGGCAGCCATGGCTTATGATCGATATGCTGCCATCTGTAACCCTCTGCTCTACACGGCCATTATGTCCCCCACCCTCTGTGGGCACATGGTGGTTGGAGCCTACATAACCGGTACCTTTGGTTCATTGATCCAATTGTGTGCTTTACTTCAGCTCCATTTCTGTGGGCCAAATGTTATCAACCACTTCTTCTGTGACCTGCCTCAATTATTAGTCCTATCTTGCTCTGAAACCTTTTTTCTCCAAGTCATAAAGTTTGTAATAGCAGTGATCTTTGGACTCACGTCTGTCTTGGTTATCGTGATATCCTATGGTTATATCATTGCCACCATCCTGAAGATTAGCTCAGTTGAAGGCAGGTCTAAGGCCTTCAACACCTGTGCTTCTCACCTCACAGCAGTGACCTTCTTTTTTGGATCAGGACTCTTTGTCTATATGCATCCCAGCTCTGATAATTCTCTGGGCTATGACAAAATGGCATCAGTCTTCTATACAGTGGTGATTCCCATGTTGAATCCTTTGATTTATAGTCTGAGGAACAAGGAAATCAAAGATGGACTTAAGAGGTGTAAGAAGAAGAGAGTCTTTTCCCATTGCCACTGTTAATTAAAGGTCTGGTAGGATGGTGACCCTGCTGACCAGAAGTTTCTAGACAATACAAGGGAAATGCATTTAACATTATTTAACCTCACTGATGCTCTGGTAGGACTGCAAGTGGGTCAACTCATCTAAATCCTGGACTGGCTCAGTGCTGCGAAAATTCTGAGGCTTCTTTCAGTTTTGACAGTTGACTCTCCTCTCCTACACCAGCAATGACCTCACAAGCAGTTAATACAACAATTTTTATGAAGCAGCAACCTTCAGTTGTTTGGTGTTTGATACTTACATGTTGTTTCAGAATTTCACACTGCAAGACAGAGAGCATGGGACTAAGCACAAGTCCTTTTTCATACACAACATCACAATCAGTATAATGAGATCACTGCATCCCAGGCTTGAACCCTTGGGGTGCCCATGCAAATTCCAGTTGATTGAGGTGGGGATTTGGAGAGAAGTATAACTTTAGGCACTTACCTAACTTCTCTGCTGAGGAAATATGCCATAGGCAGTTTGGTCTAGGATTTGTTTTCTAGGATTTTATTTTTAGAACCAAACATCAACAGTTTGCATGTGAATGGACATGGGGATTGCAATAATACTATCCTGCCCTTGGAGAGTTAAAATATAAAGGAAAAAAGTGAACATTTGGACTATAAAATATACTGGAAAAGTTACATTTCTGGGATTTTGTTTGTTTGTTTGTTTGCTTTTTGAGATAGGGTCTCACTCTGCTGAGTGGCACAATCCTAGCTCACTGCAGCCTTGAACCCCTGAGCTCAAGTGATCCTCCTGCCTCATCCTCCCAAGTAGCTAGGACTACAGGCATGTGCCACAATGCCGAGCCAATTTTCTAATTTGTTGTAGAGATGGGGTCTCACTATGTTTCCCAGGTGGTTTCTCCAACTCCTGATCTCAAGGGATCATCTGCCTCAGCCTCCCAAAATGCTGGGATTACAGGTGTGAACTACTGTGCCCAGCAAACCTGCTGCTCCGTGGCAGACTAGATAGCATAAATGCACCCGCTGCTGCAAAACAACTAGAGATGTTGAATGGAATATTTTTAAAGAATATTTTAACATACATTTCTGGGCAAGCAAGAAAAGAAAGGAAATCTCCAGAATTCAAAAATAACGTAAAATCAGGAATCCTGAGAGTAAAGCCAACTCTGAAGATGTCTTCCTCTTTGGGGGAATCCAGCGAACCCTGGTGATATTAGACCTGTGTTTTGAGGAACACATGGGACTTGGGGAAGGGAGACAAAACCTGGAGCTGCCTGAGTCTCTGATAGGAGAACCAGACACATACATGAGAGTTCACAGACTATACCTCATTGTGGGAGGAAATTAAGGAAAACAACTGTGTTTCACAAAAAAAGAAATTTTTGTTCCCTCAGGCTTCATGCTGGGCCTGGAAAAAAAGTAAACTGTGAAATTTTTTTTTTCTTTATTTCAGAATATTATGGGGTACAATCACTTTGGTTATGTATATTGCCTTTGCTTCGCCCAAGCCAGGGCTACAGGCGGGCCCTTCTATACAGTGCACTCTGCATCCATTAGTTGTCAGTTTACCCACCCACCCCACCACCCCACTTCCACATGACCAGCACCCAGTGAATATTACTTTTCCATGATAGCACCTTACTGTTGATCAGTTAGTACCAATTTGATGGCGAGTACATGTGGTGCTTATTTTTCCATTCTTGTGATACCTCATTTCGAGTGGATGGGCTCCAGCTCTATCTAGGATAATATAAGAGGTGCTAGTTCACTAATGTTTTTTGAGTAGTATTCCATGGTATACATACACAACATTTTATTAATCCATTCATGTATTGATGGGCACGTGGGTTGTTTCCACATCTTTGCAATTGTGAATTGTGCTGCCATAAACATTCGGGTGCAGATGTCTTTATTACAGAATGTCTTTTTTTCCTTTGGGTAGATGCCTAGTAGTGGAATTGCTGAATTAAATGGTGTTTTTATTTTTAACTCTTTGAGGTATCTCCAAATTGCTTTCCACAGGAGTTGTACTAATTTGCAGTCCCACCAGCAGTGTAAGAGTGTTCCTATCTCTCCACATCCATGCCAGCATTTGTTGTTTGGGGACTTTTTGATAAAGGCTATTCTCACTAGAGTTAGACCAGAGTTAGGTGATATTTCATTGTGCTTTTGGTTTGCATTTTCCTAATGATTAGAGTTATTGAGCACTTTTTTATGTTTGCTGGCCATTATTCTTTTGAAAAGTTTCAGTTCATGTCCTTTGCATACTTTTTGTTGGTATTGTTTGATTTTTTCTTATTAATTTTCTTAGGTTCTATATAGATTCTTGCTATCAGCCCTTTATTGGATGTGTAGCATGCAAATATTTTCTCCCATTCTGTAGGTTGTCTATTTGCTTGAATGAAAGTTTCCTTGACTGGGCAGAAGCTTTTTACTTTGATCAGGTTCCATTTATTTAATTTTTTTGCTGTTGTGATTGCTTTGGGGGTCTTCTTCATAAATTCTTTCCCTAGGCTGATATCTATAAGAGTTTTCCCAACATTTTCGTCTAGAATTCTTAAGGTTTCACTCCTTAGACTTAAGTCTGTTATCCATTGTGAGTCGATTTTTGTGAGAGGTGAGGGGTGGGGATCCAGTTTCAATCTTCTGCATGTAGTTATCCAGATTTTCCAGCACCATTTATTGAATAGGGATTCTTTTCCTGAATGTACATTTTTGTCTGGTTTGTCAAAGATTAGATGACAATATGCAGGTGGTTTCATATCTGGGTTCTCAGTCCTGTTCCAAAGGTCTATATCTCTCTGTTCTTGTGCAAATCCCATGCTGTTTTGGTTACTGTAGCCTTGTAGTAAAGCTTGAAGTCTGGTATAGTGATGCCTCTCAATTTGTTCTTTTTGCTTAAGATTGCTTTGGCTATATGAGGTCTTCTCTGGTTCCAGATGAATTGTAGAACTATTTTTTCTACATCTGTAAAGAATGATGATGGTGTTTTGATAGGGATTGTATTAATTCTGTAGATCACTTTAGGTAGCATGGACATTTAACCATATTGATTCTGCCAATCCATGAACATGGTAGGGTTTTCCATGTGTTCACATCTTCTACAATTTCTTTTCTCAGTGTTTTGTTATATAGATCTCTCACCTCCTTCATTAAATATATTCCTACATAGTTAATTTTCTTTGATTCTATTGTGAAAAGTGTTGCATCTTTGATTTGATTTTTGGTTTGACTGTTATTGGTGTATATGGATGGCACTGATTTGTGTGCATTAATTTTGTATCCTGAGACTTTATTGAATTCATTTATCAATTCTAGGAGTCTCTTGGTTGAATCCTTGAGATTTTCTAGATGTAATATCATATTATCATAAAAGAATGAGAGTTTGACCTTTTCTGCCCCCATGTGGACACCCTTAATTCCCCTTTCTTGTCTGATTGCTCTGGCAAGGACTTCCAGCATTATACTGAATTGAAGTGGAGATAGTGGGTAACCTTGTCTGATTCCAGTTCTAAGTGGGAATGCTTTCCATTTTTTCCTGTTCAGTATGATATTGGCTGTGGGTTTATCATATATGGCTTTAATAATTTTGAGGTATGTCCCAACTATGCCTATTTTGTTAAGAGTTTTCATCATAAAAGTATGGTGGATTTTTTCAAATGCTTTTTCTGTATATATTGAGAGAATCATATGTTCTTTGTTCTTGCTTCTATTTATGTGGTGAATTGCACTAATGGCAATAAATGCTCACATTCAAAAGACAGAAAGTTCACAAATCAATAAACTAGTAAACCATCTCAAGGAACTGGAAAAGGAAGAGCAAATCAATCCTAAACCTAGCTGAAGAAAGAAATAACTAAGATCAGAGAAGAACTAAATGAAATCGAGAACAAAAGAATTATATAGAAGATTAATAAAACTAAAAGTTGATTTTTTGAAAAGATAATCAAAATTGACAGCCCTCTTGCTAGATTGACAAGAACTAGAAAGGAAAGGACTCTAATAAGTTCACTTAGAAATGAAACAGGAAAGGTCACTATAGACATAATGGAAATGCAAAACATTATCTTTGAATACTATAAAAATCTATATGCCCCAAAACTGCAAAATGTGGAAGAAATGGACAAATTCTTGGAAACACATAACCTCCCTAGGCTCAATCAGGAAGAAATAGAATTCCTGAACAGACCAATATCAAGCACAGAAATTTAAGCAGCAATTAAAAATCTTCCGGAAAAAAAAAAATCCCAGACCAGATGGGTTCACCTCTGAATTTTACCAAACTTACAAAGAAGAACTCATACCTATATTGCATAAATTATTCCACAACATTAAAGAAGAATGGTATCCTCCCCAACTCATTCTACGAAGCCAATATCACCTTGATACCAAAGCCAGGAAAGAACACAATGAAAAAAGAAAACTACAGACCAATATCCCTCATGAATATAGATGCAAAAATCCTCAACAAAATCCTAGCAAACCAAATTCAACAGCACATCAACTGTGAAATTGTAACCATACGTCTTGATGGATGGAGGTGTGTGGTATGAATTCACACTACCTGTGCAGTTCAAGGAATCTTTAGCTGATAATTTATTTTAATGTAATCCCAGGTTGGAAGTGTCCTCAAGTACCAGTCAGAAGCAAATGCAAACCCTCACTAAGGATTCTTAAGAGAAAATTTTAAACCCAAACAATTATTCCAAATAACCTTCTAAAGAAAACCAGGTCACACAAATCTCAAAGTACACAAGGAAACCAGACCTTATCAGTGAAAACTAAGAAGGCATGGCAATATCAAACCCATAAAGACTTCAGAAATAGCAACTATTTCAATGAAAATATGAAATAGATGCTTCTGATATGTTTATAAAAAAAGAAGAAGGGAAAATGGAAATATGGCTGAAAGAATACGAGAATAAAGTTTACTAAGGATTTATGTATCTGGCAATATGGTGAATTTATATTTATCTAGATGATTCTTCTATCTGAAACAACTGAAAT